AAGGGGAGACCTGATTGAGGAATCCAAACTCCTAAAGGGTTTGGATGACATTGGGGAAGAGAGGAGACCACTACTACCTCCCAGCGAGAACCCAATGTTAAGGGGTAATGACCTTAAGCTAGCTAAGTCAGGGTTTCCACCCGCATAAGGCAGCAATCGTTGGCCATAAGGGTGGTGAACGACTGGAACAGACTACCTAATGAAGAAGTCATTTCCAGTTCGGTGAAGAGCTTCAAAACCCGCCTGGATGCCGTATGGCAAGGTCTTTTCACCTAAGGAGCCGCATAACCAATGTGATTGTCCGGAAGCTTCACTCCCTCCTTCTCCCCGACCTTCTCTCACTCTTTAGCCATTACTACTACCTTCTATTGTTTGCATACCATATCCCCATGCTGTCACCATTACCCGATCACTTACTCACCACTAGAACTCCCCATCCCTTTCGGTCGGGGTTGTAACTTCGTTGATGCTGGTGTCAGGGTCTTCTGCCCTCATCCATTAGGCGTGACCGGAATGTGGCGTTAGATTGGGAGTTCAACACCCAACTCTCCTGAAGTTTTTGATGGCAAAATTGAAGAAGAGTCATCTCCCTCTTCCATCTGTCGCAGCATCGGGGGATCCCTGGGGCCCACCGCCGCAAGAAACTGGACTAACTGGCACACCGCCGTCACCGTCTTGGAACTGAACTGAACCCCGTTTGTGTGGTTCTGACCATTGCTTATGTACAAGCGCATACAAAAAGAAAGAAAAAAACAGTTGAACAGTAGCATTCCTAACAGTCTCTTGTTTAAGACACAGTCGGATACCGAGTAAAAGACAACTACTTCGAGGACCTCCATCCGTCACAGAGCAATAAACCTACCACAAGAAACCGGGCTACTCGAAAGCTTCGGCTCTCAAGCCCGTCAATTCCAAGAATCCCCGTGAAACACTTGGAACACAAATGATTATCGAAGCACCTCATCGCCCACCTCAAGCTCACCTGGCGCAAGAAACTGGTCTCCATCTGGCTCTTCCGTAAGTCCTGTGTCTTGTCCTGTTTTGACTGGCTGAGTAACCTGACCGGATGGAGTTTAGATACACCAAGTCAGTTGTACGTTGGTGCACGTTGTGACGCGGTAATTCGATTTAGGCCACGTTTTTGGTTTTGCAGTTCAGATCCGATTTTTGATCCTTTTCAAGGCAGTTGGCTGCAATTCACTAAAATATTCAGTACCAAATTTTGCAATCGTCATCTAGACGTATCTACTGCTGATCATTGGCTATCCTAAGGGTATCTACAGATCTGCACATATTTTGGAAGACATTATACATGAGAGCTGTTTGTTGATGTTTTATCCTCAAGACGCCCAATAATCCACGTTGTCCAATAAATACTAATTTGAAATGGTCGTGTATCACGATCGTAATTTAATCATCAACTACATCCCGCGAAACGTATCCGACCTTGATCTTTCAAGTCTGTTTTCTACTGTGGGAACCATCAAGACGTGTCGAATTATTCGTGACAGAAACAGTGGCTCCAGTTTTGGCTTTGGATTTTGTGAATATGAAGATGCTGAATCTGCACACAGGGCTATCGCTCGTTTTAATGGATATAGAATAGCAGACAAAGTCTTAAAAGTGTCGCTTGCAAAATTGCAAGGAAGGCTGTGTCAAAGTTCAAACCTTTATGTTAAGAACTTTCCACTTACTGTGACAGAGGAGCAACTATCGACGGAATTTGAACGCTTTGGTAAAGTGATTCAGTGCCGCATTCTCCGTGACCGGGACTCTGATGCCTCAAAGGGTAGTGCGTACGTACTTTTTGAGAATAGAAGCGACGCAGAGGCAGCCAAAAAGTCGCTAGACGGAATGCCGTGGCCTGGTTCCAGCGATGGTTCTTTACTGGCCATCAAATTTGCTACACCGCCTTATCGTCAGCCGTCAAACAACGCACCGGCAAATAAATCTGGCCAAGTCCGGAAAACGGACACCGTTCCAAACTGCTTTCAAGGTATCAACTATGGAGACCAGTTGGCGGCCCAACTATTAGCGTTGCAAAGCAGAAGTGGATTTACATGTGAATCGCTACTAACTGCACCAACTCATTCTTATCTTCATGATTCACTGTATCTTCCTCAAGGGAACGGCATGCTAAGCTCGGTGACCCCTTCAAATCTCACTGCGCCAAATCAAACCAATCCGTGCAACGTGTTATGGCCACCTGATTATGTCGTTCATGAGGGCCGTCCGACAATAACCGCTCCACTACCAATGGCATCAGCGTATGCGCCACCATACTACATTTCGCAATATCCGTGGATGCTAAGTCAGTGGTCTTCAGTGCCATCAAGTGTCTCGCCCGGTTTTGCATCAACTTACCCTGGAGTCCTGGAGGGATTCACAAATGCCGTTCATGGCTGTCCTGTATTCACGGGCTTATCGCCTTCTGTGTTTGCTCCACAAGTGACACTCAACGGTGGTCAGAATCAAAATACACGCACCCCGCACACCGAAACAGTTTCAAAACGTTCGAAAATACAAAAATCTGAAAAGGCAAGTACTTCTGTTTATGTGTACAACATTGGAAATCTAATGACAAACAAGGAGTTATGTGATTTATTTGGACGCTTTGGATCAATCTCTTGTGTTTCTATCCCTCGTGATCCCAAGACTAATTTTGCTAGAAATTTTGGTTTTGTTACTTTTGAAAATTTCAAAAGTGCTGCTAGTGCAGTGGCCACAATGAACGGGTTTTTGTATGCTGGTCGCCGACTTCAAGTGTCTTTCAGAAAACCTCGACCTGTGGCAAACAAATCAAACTGTAATGCACAATCCAAATTAGCGGAAACTACCAATGGACACGAGAGCGAATCAGCTGATGATCCAACGTCGTCCATTTCGGTGAAAGCTGAAAAAGAAAGTATTCAAAATGGCGTACAAACTGTAAAATGTGATGAAGTTATTAATGATTTAAGTGATTTGAAGATAAATGACACTACGGAGTTTTCATCAGATTCACCGAAACTGGAAGCTGATGATATGTGACTTCATTTCAACGTTGGCGACGTGTTTATCGACCAAACGTCCTTGCACATAAACTCACAATGACTGTTAATCATCAAAACGTTATTTTATTGAGCGGTTCCGTTGTACATCGCCGTGGTATTGATTTCAGTTTTTGAACGCAGATATCTCATTTACGATCATGTGTAAACTACTTATTTTTGGATAAAACAACGAACGTAATATTCTTTGTTGTCCCGCTTCAGAAAAATTTGTATCACATCGGTGAAATTGGCAATAGGAATACTTAGGCTGTTTCTAGGATCCCATAGAGTTAATTTCAAATTCCTCTTGAGCAATTTGAGTTTCGAATCCTATTAGTTTGATTATTAGGCCCATGTTCAATTTATTTAACTTTTTATTGATGGATAATTACGGTTTTGAACGATTCGGAGTCGACTTTGGCAATAGAATTATAGTTGAAAATTAATTTGTAGGGTCAGAATTTGTAGGATTGAACACAAAATAAGTTCTTGAACCATTCTTTTATATTTTGAATGATAAGCCTGTAGTTTGCGAATCTGATTGTTCTAAGAAGCTGCTTTTACGACAGATATAGACTCAAGATCAACAAAACACAAAGGAGCATCTCTATTGAATTCTAAGATGTTTAATCTTATTTTGATGAATTCCAGCTAAACTTCTTACTTTTGCCAAAAGGACGAGAGAATACAAGGCAAAATCCACGATCGTCACATCTGTCTAGTTAGATTTATTGGCTTGTGAACAAGATACAAAGGATGACTGCATGCCATGTGGGCCCATGCCTAGGTCTAGGTCGGGGAATAACCGTCAAGATTTTGTTTAGCCGTGAATAAGACACGCTGAGGCTCACTGAGTAAGCAGTCGCTGGCAATCAGTGATAGCGCCCATGAAATTAGAGGATTTTCTCCCGGGAAGCGTCCTTGTTATAAAAATGAAGCTAATGTGACTATGACACGGTAAATTTGATAAATCATCTCTCGTGGCGTCGATTTAACAACAATTTACATTGGAGACAAATGGAGAAAACCCCTAATTATTAGATTGTTTTGAACAACCATGACGTTTAAATATTGAACTTTGACGAGCAAGTGCAAGAGTTTCAAACTCGAGAAAAAGAACGACTAATACTGAGGATACTACCCGTCATCTTATTCCCAGGAATCTTCATTTACCCCTGAGGTTAATGAAGCCGAAGTGTCCTTTAAATGGTGAAGTTTACCCAGAAATAACCAATTAGGTAATGCTGGGGTTTGAGAGCTACAAAGAGGTTATTTAAAATTTTTACATGATAATGCTGAAAAATTGAAGATCAAATCCCAAAGTAACTCATATTTGGCAGGAGATTTTGTATACTGAGCGAAAGGAGAGTACCAACTATGGGTTTATAGAATCTTAATCAACCTGGTAAAAAGTTAATGCCAACTTGCATGGTATATTCTTAGCGGTCTACAATACTTGTTGAATTGTTCACTATTTGATTTGTGGAGGCTGGTACATTTGTAAATATCTATTGGTCCCGTTTCGTCAGGTTTTTCTCTGGGTACAAGCTTGGCAATATTGTTATGTTAGATGCTTTTCATATAAAGTAGCAAGGGACGAGGTTGAAAAATCGAGCAGTAGTTCCCACAGTTAATTTGAGGATGAGAACCTTGACGCGTATCTAGTTTTTAATCTTTTCATCTTGACGAAACTGCGCCTTCATGGGTTGCACACCTCCACGACTCTGCGAGCTATACAGGATGGCTCCTCACAGCCGCAGATCCAATCATGCCCGAAATGTCAATGTTTAGATGCCAGACAAAGCGCATTCTCAAAGATCAGCTACTTGGACACCTTGTGGCCTTATCTATCCGCTGTAGTCCATACAGAGGTCACTCCAGCAAATAAACACGGTTAGGCGCAGTTTGCCGGTCAAACCCCCCACTAGATGGACGTAGTAATGAGTTACCTGGGGCTTTCTCTCGACGGTGGGAGAAGTTTTCGCACTTCATCAGACAGCTACCGCCCGCCCAAACTGGGTAGCCAATAAGGTGCTCTCCCATTCACGTTCCGCTTATCTTGTTAGCGCATCAGGCTAAAGGTCGGCCCCGAATAGCGGACCAAAAGTTAATGAACAAGCGAACAACACACTGAACCGAAACCCAAAGACCTTGCGCAACAGGTCTCTAGAAGCTTCCGCACTGATGCTTCGGTCAAGCTCGTGCACTAGATCTACGCCCCTCTGCCTTGTGGGTCGGAATTTCGAGACAGTCTCCGGTCAGGGTTTCCAAAGAAGAACATCCTCTTCGGTATGGGCTACCGTGTGGGAGGGGTACGTTGTGTTTTGAAGTAACTGACGTCAGCATTGTCTTTTAGCTTCTTCTTCAAATTCACAAATCATGAATTCCATTTGCTGCTAGCAATCGCTTCAGTCAACCTTGGCAATCTTGAGATTTGTGATTTGTAGGTAATCCAAAACGCTATGCTTCGATCAATCTGGTGTTGCGTCATCAGCAGATATTGGGCTATTGCTAGTGACAGGATCATGTAGTTTTGACCATCGTTTCTATTCAGCGAACTTGACCTCGATTGCTTCACCTGAGTTTATGTAGTATGCAGGACCGACCCCAGTTCTGGATCCACTCAAAATAGACTGGCAGATTTAATGACTCCGGGCAACACAGACCGATTTCTTATACAATTCGCGTCTTCACAAAGGGCCGCACGATTCCCGGCCACTCACTGACGCTCTGAATACACCGGTAGGGTACACTGCTCACAGTAGGTTCTCCCTGGAGGGGGCTTCTAAACAACCTACAAGACAGGGAAAATACAATAGCAACCTTGAACCAAAAGGTCCAGTGAGACATGCACACGACTGACAATTGTACCAAAATGGCTGCGTCCGTGTCTTCCCTACAGTTAAACACAATTTGAAATATGTTCAACCACTTGGTTACGTAATTGTCATTCTGTTTTGACCACGTAGGTTGCTCTGCATCCACATTGGAATTGGTAGATCAAATTGGAGTTAGCGTGCAGAAACAGACTTTCTTTTGCCGGGGTTTGGGTTTTCTGGTTATTCGATAGACGATTTGGGGGTCAGCTGCATAGTAGGTTGAGCGGATTGCCGATCCCAGTCGATATTTTTGGCAGATGACTCGCATCATCACCTTCAGACTGAAGGCACGACGTGACCTCTAATTTTGGAGCTAATACAATCGTTTCTCCAAATTCTCGGCTCACTATGATTAGTAACAAACGCTCCGGGGTGAGAGCTTTTGCCAACATCTCCCAACATTTTAAAGTTCTCACCCAGATCTGTCTTTCATGCAGATCCGAATAAGGCCACAGTTGTGCTCCAGAGACAAACCTCTCGAAGTGTAAATATTGGCCTGTCCAGATTTCCCTTTGATCAACGAATGGGGCAGTTCTTCTGTTCTGGTTGTGCTACTGTCAGGGAAATTTTGTGTATTGTTGGCCTCAGCTTCCATTGCTAACTGGATATTTGAATGTTGTCTATTGGGTTTATCCATGATTATTGTAGTTTATTTCTAAAATTTCTCTTATAACAAGGGTGTCGTAGAACTATGTTCTGTACAGGATGGCACGCTCCATAATATTCTATCCTTTTTCGAGATTTGCTATAAACAAATCTGACACGACTGTGCCTAACAGGCTGCCCATAAGGACACTGTCGATTTGTCTGCACGCATCTCCTTGAAAGGCGAAAGGCACATTGGTTATGCAGAGCAGTCATGGACGCTCAACGACGGACACTGGCAGACTAAATCGAATTTGTTACTTCTTTGTATGATCGAAAATGATTTTTATGGACTCACGAACGGGTACGTTAGTAAATAGGAATTGAAAATTGAACGAAGACATGTATCTTCCTTCTTGTCCAAAATGTCTACCAATTAAAAGCTCTCCTTGTTTGTAAGTTTTACCATTGACTTATGGGCTAATTCTAACAATCTGGCCATTCTACGATTTTATGCTGTGGTGAGTTCGTTATGAATAAGATTGACCTTAGTGACACATGGCTTGTGGATTTTCGGCAGACCCTAAAGTTGTGAAACGTGACTCCCCTCGTCTTCA